GGAGGGAGGAGGGAGGGATGCTCAAGTCGCGCGCAGCCATTGCCAGGCCGTGCCCTCCTTCCTCTCCCACTTTGCCCCTTCGCCTTCTTGCCTCCCCCCCCTCGCCGCGCCATCGCCTGGGCTCCTGCTGGAGCGGGCGCGCTGGCAGGCGGCGGCCGCGGCACTGGAGGCAGCTTCTGGATTCTGGACGGGGTGGCGACCCCCGACCGTATCCTTGCATCCTTGCCTCTGCCTTTCCTGATCCTGGCCCCCTGGAGGCTCCGAGCGAATCGGGATGGCATGGCAGAAAGTCGAAAGGCGCCGCCAGGGCCGCAAGGCAGGCGACGCCGAACTGGCCGCGGACCTGCTGCGAAGCCTCTTCGGGGGAGGCGGCCAGCGCGGTGCGAGGCAGCAGCCGGACCCTCCGCCTCGGCGCGCCGAGTGGCGCTGCGGCTGCGGCTCCACGAACTGGGCGGAACGCACGCACTGTCGCAAGTGCGACGCCGCCCGGAGCGGCGCGCCAGCGGCCTGCCCGCCGCCCGCGCCAGCCGCCGCTGGCGAAGCCACGCCCGCGGCTTGGCCAGACCTGCCTGGCGCCTGGCCGCCGCGGCCAGGGGCCCAATCCGACGCTCTTCGCAAGGCCGCGGCGGTCGCTCGCAGGGCTGGCGCGCCGAAGGCTGCCTTGGAGGCGCTGGAGCAAGAGGAAGCCGCCGCCCGCGCGCGCCAGGCGCAGCAGCGCTCTGGCAACCGCCTGGAGGGGCTCCGGGCGGCAGCGCGGAAAGCCGAAGTCGCGGCGACGGCCGCGGACGAGGCGCTGGCGGCCGCGACGCGCCGGGCGGAGGCCGCCCACGCCGCGGCGGCGGCTGCCGAGGCAGCGGCCCGCGAGGAGGAGGCTGCCCAGACGGCGGCTGCCGAGGCAGCGGCCCGCGGCGCAAACGAGGCAGCGCCCGCGCGGGACGCTGGGGCGGAGCAGCTGCTGCTCGCCACGCGCGAACTCTTGGACCGCCTGGAGCTCCACGCGCGCGGGCCCGCCAGGGCGCAGGCTTGGGGCGGCGCTCCCCCGCAGCCGCTGCTGGCGGCGATGGCCGCGGCGCACGCCGCCCTGGAAGCAGCGGGGCCCGGACCGGCGCCGCCCGACGACGCGAGGCTGGCGGGCGCCGACACGGACGCAGAGCTCGACGAGGTTTCCGAGGAGGAGGAAGCCCTGGAGCAGCTCGAGGAAGCAAACACCGACGACGCCCTCCTCGCCGCCGCTCGCCGCTTGCGCGGCGCTCGCCGGGGGGCCGCCGGAGGGGCCGCCGCCCCACCTCCTGGGCAGCCGCGCCGCCGCAGGCGCACGCCGGGCCGCTGAGGCGACGCTGCGGCTACGCCGGCCTGCGGGTCGGCGAGGCCAGCAACCCTGGGCCGCCTGGGGGGGCGCCGCTGCTCTGCCCAGGCTGCCGGGGCCCGCTCCGCGCTGCGCGAACCTTGCCTGGAGAGACTTGCGCTGCCTGCTTCGTGAGGGCTGGGCCCGGCGGCTGGCTCCACCACTGCGAAAGCTGCGAGGCGCTCCTCTGCCGCACCTGCGCCGCCGCCGCCGCGCCGCCGCCTGCTGGAGAAGGGGCGCCCGCTGCCGCAGGCGCCGCGCCCGCCGCCGCCCTGGCGCCGCCCGCCGCGCCCGCGGCCGCCGCGCCCGCAGCCGCTGCGCCCGCGGCCGCCGCGGCGCCCGCTGCCGCAGCATTCCCGCTCCGCGACTTGGCCGACCCCTGCTAGGCGGGCTTGGGCCAGATTGACCTGCTGGAGGAGCTCGCGGAAGACGTCCCCACGCTCCGCTACGTGCCGGGGGGGGCGCTGACCGCGGCAGCCCAGGCCACGGAAGAGGTCTGCAAGGCCGTCCTCGGTGCTGCGGCCGGCAGCCAGCAGGAGGGCAGAGTTTGGAAGCTCCTGCTCCTGCGGGAGAGGCTTCTTTTCGCTGCGCCGCTCCGGCTGCGCGGGGGGCGCTCGCGGCGGACGGCCGCGGAGACGCTGGACCGCGCCCGGCTTGTGCGAGAGCGCTGCGCGACCTTGCAGCGGGGCGGCTGGGAGGAACTGCTGGCGGAAGCTCGCAGGACGGGCCGGGCACTGGCGAAAGCCCGACGCGAGGGGCGCTGCCCAGACCGCGACGCCAGCGCCCTGGCCGACGAGGCACTGCGGAAGGCGCTTGCCGAGGAGTACTCCCGAGCAGCGGCGCTGCTGAGCAGCCCAGGGCTCGCTCCACTGACGCCAGAGACCGGGCAGCAGCTCCGGGGCCTCCGTCAGCCGAGGGGCGCCCCCGCCCTGGCGCCGCCGCCAGCCCGACGGCTCGACGACGCTCCCCTTTCCTACGGGCGGCTGAAGAAGGTCCTCCGGGCGAGCCCCAAGGGGGGCGGGGCCGCTGTCGGCGGCGGCAGGTTCGAGCACTGGCGGGTGGTCCTCTCTGATTATGGGGCGCTGGGGGCCTTCTGCGGCGTCTGCGACCGCCTGGCTGAGGGGCGAGTCCTCGCGAGAGCGCCGCCGCTGCCCTGGCTAACTCCAAGCTCACGCCGCTGCGGAAGGGCGAGCGCGGCGTTCGGCCCATCGCGGCGCCGAACATCCCGCGGCGCTTGGTGGGCCGCGCACTGGCAACCGAGCGACGGGGCCGCTTGCAAGACGCGCTCGGCAGACAGCAGTTCGCCATCGGCACGGCCGCGGGGACTGAACTGCTGGCGCACTCAGTGCGCGCTCTGCTGGAAAACGCGCCACAACTGGTGGTTACTGCCTTGGGCGCGAAGAACGCTTTCTGCACCGCGCGCCGGGCCACTTGCCTGCAGCAGCTGGAGGAGGTGGATCCCCCCCTCCTCCCCTTCGCAGAGCTCTTCTGCAGGCGCCGCTCGCAGTGCTTCTTCTGGGACAGCAAGGGGGCCTGCCACCGACTGCGCGCCACTGACGGCGTGGACCAAGGGGGCCCGCTCGCGCCCCTCCTCTTTGCCTGCGGCCTGCGCCCCTACTTGCGCGCGCTCGAGGAGGACCTGCGCCGCCGGGCTGAGGCGCGCGGGCTTCCGCCGGGCGAAGTTCACGTGTTCGCCTACCTAGACGACCTAGTGGTCCTCGTGCCGCCAGAGCTCGCTGCGGAGGTGCTGCTGGCGGCGCAGGCTGCGCTTGCCCCGCTCGGACTGGAGCTGCAGTCAGGCAAAACGCAGGCTTGGTCACCCCGCGCCCCTTGCCCGCCTGGCCTGGAGGCGCACTGGCAAGAGAGAGGCCTAACGCTGGTTGGGGCCGCGCTCTCCGAGTAGCCACAGCCGCGGGAGCTGCCGCGCCCGGGCGAGGGGCGCCGGGCAGACCTGGGCGCAGCCGACTACGCCACGGAGAGCGCCGAGGACGCCGCGACACGAGCCGCCGGGCTGCTCTCGAAGGTGGCCGAGCTGCCCTCGCTGGCCTCCCCGCACCTGCCCGCGGTGCAGACGGCGGCCCTGCTCTTGCGGCGCAGCGGGACTGGCAAACTGACGCACACGCTTCGCGCGACGCCTCCCGAACAGGCGCGCCTGGCGGCGGCGGCCTGCGACGCTGCCCTCCTGGCCGCCTACGAAGAGCTCGGGCACCTGGACCCGCTCACGCCACAACAGAAGCAACGCTGCCAGCTCCCGCTGCGCTTGGGCGGCCGCGGCCTTCGCAGCCAGGAGGAGCTGGCCCCGGCGGCCTGGGCGGCCTCCTGGGCGCAGAGCCCGGGCGCCTTGCGGGGGCGGACGGGGCTGGCCTCCCTGGGCGACCTGGACACGAGCCCGCTGCCGCTCGCCGCTGCTTGCCGGAGCAGCCTTGCCGGGCTTGCGGCGCTGCCGCCGCCGCTGCCTCGCTGGGGCGCCGGCCCTGACAGGCTGCCCACTTGGGCCGAGCTCGCCACCGAGCCTCAGAAGAAGCTCCAGAGGACGCTCACTGCAAGGATTGACCAACAAAAACCTACACCTCCTTGCTGGGCCCCCTGGGCTCGGATGAGGACCGGGCGCTGCTTCGCTCCTGCGGCGGCCCGCGCTCCGCGGCCTGGCAGACGGCCTCGCCAGACGAGCCCCGCCAGCGCTTGGAAGGCGCCGCCTACCGCTCAGCGACGCGCTGCCTGCTAGGCCAGGACGCGGCCCCGCCAGGCGCCACCTGCTCAAACTGCACCCGCACGGGGGAGCGGGCTGGCCGGCGCTGCGGCGAACCGCTCTGCGCCAAGGGCCGCCGCGCCTGGCGGTGCCCGCGCGGAGGGGGCCTCGAGGCACGCAGCGGCGACTTGGAAGCGGCTTGGGCGCACATCCATGCCGATCGAGTGCGGCTACCAGGTGGCTCGCCAGACGCCAGTGCCCGCCTGGGGCCGCTGGCGCTGGCGCTGCAGCAGCTGCGCGGCGAGCGGCACGGCGGCGACCCGGCCGGCAGCGGGCGCGGCTTGCTCCTGCGGCGCCCCGCTCGCAGCCCGGCGCGAGGAAGCCATCCTCGACCTGGAGATTCAGCGGGCTGACTGCCCCCGAGTCTTCCTGGGCGCCACCGTGCGGCACGCCGTGTCGGGCGACGCCGAGGGGCTCCGGGCTGCCGCGGCGCGGGGCGGCGCCGTCAACAAGGGCGCCGAGGCGGACAAACGCGCTCGGTACCCTGCCGGGCGAGCGCCCTGGCGGATGGCGCCACTCGCCCTCGAAACGGGCGGGCGCCACGGGCCGCCCTGCGCCACCTGCGCCTGCTGGCGAGGGGCCGGGCGCAACTGCCCGCAGGGGGCGACCCCGCTGCCGCCGCTGCCGCGGCCGGCGCCCTCACGCGCCGCTGG